TCTTAAAGGTGCATTTTCATTATTTTCGTCAAGATAACGTTTGTGACATTTTTTAAAATAAATTTATTATTTCGATTATTCATTAAACATGAAATTAGTTATTTGGTAGCCACCACGGTTATAGATTTCATTGTTAGAAAAGAAAAAATCAAATAAAAAATTGTGCAAAAGTTTAAACGCAATATCGTCTCTCGCGAAGAATAGTTTATTTCTTTCAATTTATCCATGGAATACACAGATTTCTGAATATATGGAACCAATTTACACTAAAAAAAAGATACTTAACACTCCACAATCTGTGTGGATTATAATGTTTATTTTACAAATAAATTTTGTAATATTTTTTTCTCAGTGTAGTCATCGGTGATGAACGTGACTCGACGATAATTAAAGACGAATAAAGAAAAAGATTGAAGGACAGATTGGCTCACCTTTTCTCCCGTTCCACGATGCGTGGTATTGCCTTGCCAGAATCGCCTACTGAAGCCCTTCACGTAGCCGGTCTTGCTTTTCGTGTACGCGAAACCAGGATGCCAGCAAAGCGATCCGTATCCGAATACCCAGAGCTCGTTTCCTTCCGTACGATTCATCTCTGTTCTCTCTTGTGAAAAAGAAAGTGAGCTGATGACCGAGCTGTGTTTCTTCCTTATTTCTTCCTTTATCTTTTCCCTTTTTATTTTTTTCTTGTCTCGTTTCTGATAACATTGAAGTTCCAGAATACGCTTTTAAATTAAAAACTTATTGTCCCATAATACGTTTTAACATAAAAAGAATTATCGTACTTTGTGATTACATCCTTTTACTACAAAATAATTATACAAATTTTCTTATAAATACCATTGTCAAAATTAAAAATCATTCATTTAATCACCTCTGAATTGTTAATTAATTTCTCTCAAAATTCTCAGAGATTGAGTTTCTTCATATAAAATCTTTAAATTCGAATGGTTTCATGTGTTTTCTTTTCTAAAGAGAAGTATGCAATAAATTTTTTCTAAAGTTCTATTCCAGTTGCAGAAAATTGCCGATATATATATATATAGAATAGCTCTTCGCTGGATCTTTATTGGCGGCAACTCCAAATAATCGAATTAATAACAATTTAAGTTTCACTTTAAACAAGTTTCACTTTAAATGATCAATCTTCAACACTAAATCAATCCTCGATCATCGCGCTGATGCATGCGTTTGCGTCTCTGGATCCCCCGCGGATAACTCGTAGTGATTTCAATTTATTAATTCGCAAGACGTTTCGACTAACCGGATATCATAACGATGAGATGCTCCTCTTTCGCGTCATCCTGATTGTCCACGTATTTCTATAATAATAAGCTGAACCCTCTCTCTCAAAATCGATTTTGGATCAAGTCAGTCCAAGTCGGTCGGGGAAATCCGTTCCGAAAAGATCGATGTTTCGACAACTGTCCCGTGATCTCGATTAAATGTATGCTCAAGTATTTCTCAGACATTTGGAGGCTCTCGAAAGAAAGGCGAATCACCTGAGAAGGTCCGATGAGAACTGCCGGCTGACTGTAGTAGCCGTGGTAGCCGGTTAGTATTTGGCGAACTAGACCAGATGCGCGCTGACAGGAGGAAGAGAGAAAGATATCAAGAGAGAGTACAGCGCGAATCGGGGAAGACAGAGAAAAGTAGTGGAGTACACGCCAGCAGGAGTCATGGTGGGGATGGATGATGAAACGAACCGCCAGATTGACGCACCGGATGTGCGTGAGCATTCAGTTGAGCGAATTAATCTGAAGACGTGTCGATTCGTATTATCAAAGTATCTGGTAGAGACAATTGGTTCATAGCACGTGTTTAAATGTTTGAAATACAGGAATGTTAAGCGCGACCCAGAATGTGAAGAATTTTAAAAACAAATTTCGTCAGTTGTCTAATTCATCCGATCGCAGGACAAAAATCTAAACGTTGGTTTACGGAATAAAATATTCTGGTGATTTGTTTGATACATATAATATATAAATAGTTTTATTTATCAGTTAGAACCTATGCACACTCCTTCAAATTATTTAAAACTATAAGACCTATGTTAGAATTACAAAACAAGATTCCGTTTATTTAAAAGAAAGATTATAATACAAATTCGTTATCTCTCTTGAGGCGTGTCAGATTCGGAAAACACTTTGTCTAGAAGTTCGGAACACATATCAATCTCGTCCTGATTTTCCACAGGTTTTAATTCTGTCAACAATTGCTCCAAAGTGGATCTTAAACACAATTGTGATCGACGACATTCCTTTAGTGCCGGTAAAAAGTTATCGTTTACCATACCACTGAGCACTCTCAATAATTGTTCCCTACAATATAAGAATACTGGATTTATATCTTAGGAAAATATTAAAAATTTTTATGTTCCCTCGAAATGCTGAAATAAGTTACCTGACTGTCGGCTGTAAATTCATTCTACCCAATAATCCTGCTGCTTGCTCTATGAATCCCATTTTTACTAAGGTATATTTTATGTCGTTCGAATTATTTCTACTGCACAAGCTAGAAAGTAAGAATGCGGACTTTATCTGTAGTTTCTCCACTGAACTCTGCATTGCCCGTAATAGCACCGAGTAACCGTCGTTCATATCTAGATACTTTAATGACGCTGGATGTCCTCTTACTATACCTATATTCAAAATATAATCAATGAGATATAAATAACTGAGCTTTACGTCATACTATTACTTACATGACACTGCATATAGAGCTTTTATCCTGGCCTGTTCCGATGGATCTGTATCAATCATAGATAATAACACAGGAAATACTCCGGCTTCTAATAATTTGTCTTGACAAAACGGATTATTTTGCGCTAATTCGGCGATAATATCGGCTATTCGCCATCTAATATTACTGTGCGAGGAATTTAAGCATGGTTGAAATATCGAGAAACCTCCGATCTTATAAAAGTCATTGGCTATATCGATATTATCTACAAAATCTACCATCCTTTCCAATACATTCTCGTACTCCGACGAATCATCATCTGCTCGCAGATTGTTAACGTTAGACAAAATTTGTACAGCTTTCTGCAATTCCTCTATTACGTTCACTGTTAACGATGATAATGCCTCATTCAAGAATGTTTTTTTCTACAAAATACAAGTGTATCTCATTAAATATAGATAATAAACAAACAAATAGCACATATAATTGAGTGCGAGCGTGGCGTAACAGGCAATGCACGAGACTGCTTTGTCAGAAATCCCAGGTTTGATCCCAGGCAGAACCGAAAAATATTTTTGAACGCTCGTAGCTTCTCTCGGAAGGCAATGGCAAAACCACCGAGAGTATCCTTGTCAAGAGCACTTCTCTAATAAATCATCGTTTGGAATCGTTAAACTGTAGGTCCCATATGACTGTGTACAACCAGCGTACGTACCACAGGCATATGAGAGAAGTCACCACGCTCAACCACGAGCAATAGGAATGAGGAGCACATGTAATTTTAAATTAAATTTCGTACTTCTTCGTCCAAAGGATAAACTTGCGATTTATTCTCCAGGTCCTCAGACTGTGCTGCATCCATAGCATATTTGAGTAATCCTTGCAAATTAGTTGGTTGCCTCGGTTGATTTGGTAACGGTTGCCGTGGAATTTGCTCGGTATTACTGGAGGTCGAGGGACCTTCGATGGAAAGCGGTCGCGCATTGCTGTTTGACTGACCTTGCTTGACTTGATGTTTTTTTGGTTCTTTGTTCTCAGGACTGATGCAAAAAATATTTATTTATGTAAAACACAGGTGATTAGATTTAGGTTAATCGCAGTATTAAAAATAATATGTACATACTTGCTCATTTTGACGCTACTCTGTTTAACGAATGATGTGCCCATTAATTGAAAACACTGTTTAAAACCAACCTCTTCGCGAACAATCCTCGACTACTTATTCTGATTCATCGCATGTCTTTTTATGGGATTTTATATTTCTGTATCCAGGAATTTCTTTATATACCAATATACGAGATGTCGCTGGATGTCTGCTTTGTGCTGGTCTGTTGGATCGTTGGATGTTGCTTTACAATCATTTACAATCTCACGTAAATGTTAGGTATATTCGGGCAAAGAGAAATAAACCCATAGAAATCTACAGCTGAATGGACAAGCTTGCGTTTTTTTAAATATTATTTCCCTTCAGGTAATGAAGGAATCATTTAAAGTGCCTTCAATCTTTCCTCTTTGATCTTTTGTCACAACACGCGAACATGTTCCGCGTTTAGTTTTTAGGTTAGGTGACCCCCACAAAGTCTCGTCTATTAACGCCTCTAGGTGCACAAAATGAATTACCCAGCCATATCCATGAATATTCTGATGGATAACATATGTTTTATGTCCACGATTTTTTGGTTCTGTTCCATACTGTGACAATAATTTTTGCAAGATATACAATTATATATATATATATATATATTTTTTTTTTTTAAACAATGTATTTTTTTATATTAATTGATTTTATTATTCTGTATATATTATTTTAAAAGTATTAACAGTTATCAAAAAATTAATAATTTACAAGATATTTTAAGACATATTAGAATATGTTTTATTCAAATTAATAAAAAGAAATGGATATTTTTTTTCTTATTAAATAAATGCATACTTATTCAAACATTAAAACACAAATTGATACAGTACATGATTTTTATTATATTAAATTTATTTTCTATACATTCTTACAAAACACTAGCAATGATACAGTAATATAATAAAGGATGTATGTATCCGTGTCATCAAATATTTATAATTATGAAACTAAGATGTTTTAGGAGACCTATGTTCTTTTAACTTTATTCTTGGTTTAATTTATTTGTTACCTTTTTGTTAGAACTAGAAAAAGATAAAAAGTAAGTTAAACTCAGATTGAAGTTAATCACTGGTAGATAGAGGCATTATTCGTACAATAATGCATTTTTAACGATACAGAATTATAAATCTATATTTTAACTGTAATATATATATGTGGACATATATATGTATATGTGGAATTTTTCCTTTTTTGACAATATATTTTTTTTTTATATGTACGCTGATATTGATTCCTGATAAAAAACTTGCACGAAAATACAATTACCTATTATTAATCATACTGATGTGATGTAAAGTAAACACATCCAAAATTACACAGTTTTTGCAATTAAACGAAATAATGTGGTTTCTTCACTATTATGCCATATTCCGCAACTGCTGGTGTCAGATCTTCCATAGTCAGAGTATAACGTCGATCTTTTCCTTTTGTTTTTGTATTCTGATTGGCACCACGTGTTTTACAGTGCTGCAGCGCATCATTGGCAATTTCCGAGATAAACTTTTGTGCTGCTAATGACACCAGGCGTACTCTAAAATAGCAAGAAATCATATAACACCATGTAACATTATTTGATAGATTTACTAAATAAATATTACATGTTCAGTCTACGAAACTTTTTTAACTAATTACAGGATGATTTAAACACAATATTGTGATTGTACTTACATCCTAGGATCTATAGCGTTGAAACCAGCCGTGTGCAAGTAATGTTCAGTGATGGCATCAGGTACCTAATGTTAACGTTGTAAAATTACAAACATAATTAATTGCTCTCAAGTACAAATTAATTTTTTTTTAAATTTATATCATAAAGAAGATGGCTAGATACCGTAGGTGTATAATCCTCCAATTGCATCAAGAAATCTGACAACGGTTGTCCCGCAGTCTTTGTCTCCTCGTTATAAATCGGTGAGGTTTCCCTTCCGAAATTCTCTGCCATTTTTTTGTGTAACGTGAAATAAAACTACTCTGACCTGTGCTATGAATTCCTAACCTAAATCATTAACGTGAAAACGAACTGTTTTACTATTCTGTAATTTTCCTCTCTTACACTTGGCGATTTCTATCTTTTTTTTTTTTCTAAATGTTTCCTCTTGAGAGCAGTAATACTTTTTAATGTGCTAATACGCGAATTTTTTAGGGCTTACAATCACTTACAAGCAGTTCGAAGTTTGGAATGTTTAGATGTTTGGAGTGTTTGATGTGTTTGGTCTGTTTTCTGTTCCTGCACTAGACTGTTCTAGAACTCTCTTTCTCGCTTTAAACAAATATCAAACGTATATCTTTCTCACTTTAAGTTCCAAAAGTGTACACTAGTTCAGCCACAGAAAACAGACCTATTCAATGCACTAGGTCTGTTCTTTTTTAAAGAATTCTGAACTAGTTTTGGAGTACATTTCAAACCAAAACGTCCTCTCCGAGAAAAATTTACTTCCTGAACTAGTGCAATAAGTTAGAATAAACCAAACTATAACTGTCTCTTCTCTCTGTCTATAACTTTAACTTGTTCTGAATACCAGTTCAGAACTTGAGGTGAAAAAAGAACAGATCTACTGTGTACATACGTGCATAACCTAACCTAACCTGATCCCGGTTGGAGCATTGTGTTTTAAATCAACGATACTAACAAACTGTAAAAAATGTGGCTGTAATAATAAAAAAATAACTTACAAATATCGTAAACGACCATTTAATCCAAAATATTATAGGATACTTATTATTTAATACGTAAGCCAACAACAGAATTGAGAATGAAAACATAACTTGATTCGCGTCAAATTGCAATTTATTTCCTTTATATTATAACAGAGAAATCTATGTAAGTTAATAAGTATATATATTATTCTGCTTTTAAAAATTATGGTGATTATTGTTACAGCTAGAGAGTGACTTACATATATAACTATAATTTTTAATATATAATAATCATATTTTTAAGGATGGCATCCGAGGACGTCAATTCCCATACGATATTAAATGCTTCGGAAGAGACTGGGCAGTCTGTTACCAGTATATCGCAGGAAAGTAATAATAAGGATGTAAACTCAAGTAAGCCACAGACTCAAGGAAATCCAACGAGTAATCTCCAAAGGATACAACAACGCAAGCAGCAGACATACAACTGGCCACAAGAAAAAAAATTGTTAAAGCTTGCGAATTACAGCGCTTGTCAAACACAGGATTGTAAATGTACAGGCTGGAAAAATGCACAGCCAATTATAAAATCACCAAAGGGCGAAATACAGCAACCTCTTATAAATTTTTCGGATCCATGCAAGATGTGTATTCATCCTTTAGAAAACCACATCAAACATTTACCAGTTCAATCTGATGATGAAATAAACAGATTACTGGGAATGGCTATAGATGCAGATAATATTTTAACATGTACACATAGGGAAGTAGATCCCGATACCAAGAAGGTTTATTTTTATTTATACAAATTATTGAGGAATTGTATCTTGTCTATGACAAAGCCAGCCATAGAAGGTCCATTAGGACAGCCGCCATTCGAAAGACCTAACATGGCAAAAGCCGTAATGAATTTTGTTTTATATAAATTTAGTCATTTACCACCGGCAGATTGGCAAATTATGTGTGATATGGCAAAGATGTTTTTACATTGCCTGAATTTCTGGAATTTTGAAGCACCCAGTGCCAGACAAGCAACAATTAATGTGGATGAAGCTCCTGCTTACAAAATTAATTATACCCGCTGGCTAGTCTTTTGCCACGTTCCTGCATTTTGTGACTCTTTACCACATCATGATACTCCTTTAGTGTTTGGAAAAACTTTATTGCAAGCTGTATTCAAACCACTTTGTAGAGAATTAATGAATAAGTGTCATAATGAAAGAGACAAGATAACGCCGGAGAAGAGAATTATAGTTTTAACGCATTTTCCTAAGTGTGTATTAAGTTTTTTCCCCTCTTATATTCATTTTTAATTATAACAAAAATTACATGTTTCTTTGTATTTAAGGTTTCTTTCAGCTCTGGAAGCTGAGATTTATTCTGATAGTTCGCCTATGTGGGACCCTGAATTTAAACAAGCACCACCGTCTCATGTGCAAGCTGCCTTAGAATCAAAAGCACAAGCAAGAAAGACAGGAGAATTTGAAAAAGTCATTATTATACCGAATGAGAAAGATAATTATACAACGATAAACATTAGCCCTGGGATAAGAAGACTTCCCGAAAAACGTTTTTATTTCGAAGGACGACCCGATGCAAAGAAACGGAAAAGTGAAGAAGTTTTTGAAGATTTACCAGATGAAACTGTTGCTAAAATTGTTGCAACTATTAATGATCCCAATTATATGTATGGGCCTGATGCAGTATTTCCTCCAGATGTTCCACGAGACGAGACTGCTAAAATTGAAGAAAGCAGAAAGATCATAGAGTTCCATGTTGTCGGAAATAGTCTGACACAGCCAGTATCTAAGCAAACTATGCTTTGGTTAATAGGATTGCATAATGTATTCAGTCATCAATTAGTCAGAATGCCCAAAGAATATATATCTCAATTTGTTTTTGATCCGTGAGTATTATCCAAAAATAATATATTAATTTATTGTAAAAATTTATTTAGTAATAATCTATTCTTTATCACACAGGAAACATAAAACATTGGCCCTGATAAAAAGTGGTCGTCCAATCGGTGGTATTTGTTTTCGCATGTTTCCTACTCAGGGTTTTACTGAGATTGTATTTTGCGCTGTTACGAGCCAAGAGCAAGTAAAAGGCTATGGAACACATTTAATGAATATGCTAAAAGATTATCACATCAAAAATAACGTATTGCATTTTCTTACGTTTGCGGATGAGTTTGCTATTGGATATTTTAAAAAGCAAGGATTTAGCAAAGATATAAAACTGCCGAAGCCGATGTATCATGGATACATCAAAGATTATGAAGGAGCGACATTGATGCACTGTGAATTGAATGCTAAAATAGTATATACTGAATTTACAGCAGTATTAAGGAAACAAAAAGAAATAGTTAAAAAATTAATTTATCAAAGACAACAGGATATACAAAAGATTCATCCAGGTTTAACATGCTTCAAAGATGGTGTAAAAAGTATTCCTGTCGAATCCATTCCAGGAATTCGTGAAACCGGATGGAAGAATTACGCTCAGACAAGAACAAGAGGTGTGGTCAAAGGAACGCAAGGTTCGGAACTTATAGATTGTATGGATATATCAGAGTCTCTTTATAACACTTTAAACAGTGTTTTGAATAGCGTGAAGAATCACATCTCAGCCTGGCCATTTCTGGAACCTGTAGACAAGGACGACGTTCCAGACTACCATATTCATATAAAATATCCAATGGGTGAGCACATAGAAGATATAATACATTTTAAAATGATCAAAGTAATTTTTAATAATAAAATATTAAATATAGATTTTAAAAAATCTTAAAATGAAAAAACTTAATAATAATTCAGGAACTAATGATTTTTTTATATTGCAGATCTCAAAACTATGGAAGATCGTTTGAAGTCTAAATACTATGTAACTAGAAGATTATTTATTGCTGACATGACACGAATTTTTACAAATTGTAGATTGTACAATAGTCTTGAAACCGATTATTATCGTTGCGCCAATGCTCTAGAAAAATACTTTCAGACACGTATGAAAGAAATTGGTCTATGGGACAAGTAGAATTTTTTGTATCTTATAATATAAAAAAAGACGAAAAAATTATAATAATTTGTTGTTTATTGTTTATTCCTCTATAATGTCGCTGCGCGTAGCTTAGCGCCAAGACACTACCAGTGTCTCCAGATTAGCTACTTAGGACAGTTGTCGAAAGTTGGCTAAAAAATAGCTACATTAAAATTTTTTCTTTGCTTGTGAAATTTTTGAATTTAAAATTTGATACTGCATATGTATATCTAATATAATAAAAATTCAGATTTCACAGAAATTTGTTTATATTAGAGAGAATTTAAATTACACAGCCACAAATAAAGATTTAAATCCATATGGCAGAAATTGAAAGAATACTTTAAAGCTCAAACGATAGCCAATCATCTTCCGTATATTATTATTATTTCTAAAAAACAAAACAATTGGCCATTGCGTGGACATGCGTTATATCACGTTTCTTGATGAAGCATAAATAACGGTGTGTAGGAGGCATTGGGGGGGACAGTTCATATAACCTAACCTAATCTGTCAAATTGTCCTATATATCGACATAATAATAACACAAGAAATTGTAGAGAATGCTAGTTTATAACGGCGTCAAAGTTCTGCGGATATCGTAATTGTTTATTTAAATCACAATATCATTATTGAATAGTTGAGTATAAATGTCACTGAGAGTAAAAACGTATAATTAATTCGATTCATATAAAATTGCGATTTAATTTCCTTATTCCTATATTTTAGAAGGAATTTTTTGGTGCGTGTATAAGTTCATGTAAGTTGCCTAAAAAATTTTTACGATTATGATACGATACGACTGATTTCTACACAAGTATAACTTGTTCAATCCATAACGTGAATATCAATGATTTTTTGTAGAATGGCATCCGAAGACATCAATTCTCATGCAACCGCTTCCTCGGAAGAGACTGGACAATCTGCCAGCAGTAATCTGCAACAAGAAAGTAATACCAAGGATGCAAATTCAGCTAAGCCACAGGCTCAAGTAAATCGCACAAGTAATCTCCAAAGGATACATCAACGCAAGCAGCAAACATACAACTGGCCGCAAGAAAAGAAACTGTTGAAACTTGCGAATTATAGTGCTTGTCAAGCAGAGGAATGTAAATGTACAGGCTGGAAAAACGCTCAACCAATTATAAAATCATCAAAAGGCGAGATACAACAGCCTGTTATAAATTTTTTCGATCCATGCAAGATGTGTACTCATCCTTTAGAAAATCATATCAAACATTTACCAGTTCAGTCTGATGAGGAAATCAATCGATTATTGGGAATGGCTATCGATGCTGACAATATTTTTGCATGTACGCACAGGGAAGTAGATCCTGATACTAAGAAAGTATATATTTATTTGTACAAATTATTGAGAAATTGTATCTTGTCTATGACAAAGCCAATCGTGGAAGGTCCGTTAGGGCAACCACCCTTTGAAAGACCTAATATAGCGAAAGCAGTAATGAACTTTGTTTTGTATAAATTTAGTCATTTGCCGTCGAGAGAATGGCAGATTATGTACGACATGGCAAAGATGCTTTTACACTGCCTGAATTTTTGGAATTTTGAAGCACCTAGTGCCAGACGGTTAACAATTAATACAGATGAGGCTCCTGCTTATAAAATTAATTATACCCGCTGGCTTGTTTTTTGTCATGTGCCTGCATTTTGTGACTCCTTACCACATTATGACACTCCTTTAGTTTTTGGGAAAACCTTATTACAAGCTGTATTTAGATCAGTTTGCAGACAATTAATGGATAAGTGTAATAATGAAAGAGATAAAATTGCACCGGAAAAAAGAGTTTTAGTTTTAACACATTTTCCCAAGTATGTTCTAATCTCTTTTTTATTTCTTATATACATAACTTGTAAATATCAAACTAAATTACCATATTTTATATTCAAGGTTTTTGTCATCGTTAGAAGTAGAAATTTATTCTGATAATTCTCCCATTTGGGATCCTGAATTTAAACAAATTCCACCTTCTCACCTTCAAACTGCCCTGGAATCAAAAGCTCATCAAGCGAGAAAAACGGGAGAATTTGAAAAAGTTACTGTCACTCCAAATGAGAAAGACAATTTTACAACAATAAATATTAGTCCTGGAATTAAAAAAATCCAGGAGAAACGTCCTAATGCTGAGGGACGCCTTGAGGCAAAGAGGCGAAAAAATGAAGAAACTTTTGAGGACCTGCCAGATGAGACCATTGCTGAAATTGTTGCATCTATTAATGACACTAATTATATGTCTGGTTCTGATGCAGTATTTCCACCAAACGTGCCACGGGACGAAACTGCTAAGATGGAAGAAAGTAAAAAGATAATAGAATTTCATGTAGTCGGAAATAGCCTGACACGGCCAGTGTCTAAGCAAACTATGCTTTGGCTAATAGGGCTACAAGATGTATTTAGTCATCAATTACCAAGAACGCCCAAAGAATATATTACTCAACTTGTTTTTGATCCGTGAGTAACAATAATTTAGTATCAATGTTAAATACTTTTACATACGAATGTATTCAATAAAATTCTTTGTCCTACAGAAAGCATAAAACGCTAGCCTTGATAAAGGACGGTCGTCCAATTGGTGGGATTTGTTTTTGTATGTTCCCAACTCAAGGATTTACAGAAATAGTGTTTTGCGCTGTTACGAGCCATGAGCAAGTAAAAGGCTACGGAACGCACTTAATGAATATGTTGAAAGATTATCACATTAAGAACAACATACTGCATTTTCTTACATTCGCGGATGACTTTGCTATTGGATACTTTAAGAAACAGGGATTTAGCAAAGATATCAAACTGCCGAAGTCGGTGCACCAGGGGTACATTAAATATTACGTGGGAGCGACATTAATGCATTGCGAGCTAAATCCAAAAATTGTATATACTGAATTTACGGCAGTTATTAGGAAACAGAAGGAAATAGTGAAAAAGCTGATTCACCAGAGACACCAAGAAATACAGAAAGTGCATCCCGGCTTAACATGTTTTAAGGAAGGTTTAAGGGGAATCCCCATCGAGTGTATTCCAGGAATTCATGAAACCGGATGGAAAAGTTGCGCTCAAACCAGAACGAGAGGTGTGACGAAAGGAATGCAAGGTCCAGAATCAATGGAGACGAATTTAGAGGTTCCAGATTCTCTGTGTAATACATTAAATGGTGTTCTGAACAGTGTGAAAAAACACAGCACAGCGTGGCCTTTTTTGAAACCTGTAGTTAAAAATGATGTACCAGATTACTACGACCACATAAAATATCCTATGGGTGAGTTTAAGAAAAATGTCTATATATTTTACTGTTTAAAATTTTGTATATTGTAAATGTAATTATCTGGTCTCATTATTTGAAAGAAACCAACCGAATACAAAAAACTCCAATGTAATGAAATGTATTTATTCGTGTTATAGATCTCAAGACGATTCAAGATCGCTTGAATTCGGGATACTATGTAATAAAGAGATTATTTATAGCAGACATGTTACGGATTTTCACTAACTGTAGATTGTATAATAGTCCTGACACTGAATATTACCGTTGTGCCAATGCTCTGGAAAAATACTTTCAAACGCGTATGAAAGAAGTCGGACTCTGGGATAAGTAAAATTTTTAAGACTGTTATAATGATAATGTTGGCAATTGATACTTTCTAATTTATTCTTATTACAAAATATTATTACTTTATAAAGAAAATCCATATCTTGGAATACTGCTTTTTGTGCAGTATTTGTATATAAAGATAAAATTTAATATAAATATATATATATACATATATATACACACACACACATATATATATATATATATATACATATAATTTGCATGGAAGCTCATGTCAGAATAATTAAAAAGAATATTAAAAATTAGAAATAAAAAAAGATTTTATTTCCATAATACAGTATGTCCTTTGATTATTTTATTCTTTAAAATGTGTTCATGTTTATTACATTTATTTTACTTAATTTTTTCGAATATGTACATACATATATTCTGACGTGCATTTTGCATGTAATTGATATGCGCGCGCGCGTGTGTACGTTGTGTGTTGTGTATACATGCATCTAGCTACAAAAGGTATTGCTTATCTAATCGTAATCACATATTTCATATATTGATTGTGCGAATTGTTTATATGTGGCCTTTTCACTATATTACATTTATATAGCATTATATAATACATTATTAAAATATCAAAAGTGGTTTATGCAAAAATTTCAGACTGAACTGGATACTTAATTTCACAGCCTAATTAATATCATTAGTCGAGCAGTTAATTAAGGAGCATAATACAGCAATTATATATAAAGATCGCTCTAGTGGGCGATCAGTCTATGGAACAGTGATTCTCTGTAATGCACATTGGTTTGTAAAGTATTCTTAAAATAATAAAGCTTGTTATCTAGAAGTGATGTGAATGAGAATAACAGTCAAATTTGCGTTATATGTGAATATAAAAACTGATATATATGTATATCCAATGTTATAAATTGATAGTATAAATTGATTGATTGAATAATTCTATAACATAGTAAAAATTGATAACAAAACTATTGAAGGGCCAATATATTAAATTATATCATATTCTTCTAAAAATATGTAACATTATTTCTTAAATATATTTCATGAAACCGCGAACACTTCGATTATCTATTTTTAAAAAGTGCACACATTTATGGGAGACAATTTAGAACAATTAAGACTTTTTAGCCCGTTAATTTTATGAGCTTCCCTTACTTCCTTCATTTCTTGTTTAATTTTATCAATCTATAACATATATGGGAAGAACTTATTGAACGAATAATAGTTATGTTCTATGATTGAATCATAGAATCTTGTTAGCTCGATTCATTTTACTTGCCATTTAGAAATCCATCTTTAAATAGATTTTAATGATAGAAAGTATTTTATTTTTTAATAAAATTTGTTCGCTTGGAAAATTTTTGCAAATGAAATTCATTACATTCCTCACGTGTTATGTCTAAAAAGATTGCAGTTTAGTGTAGATTTGCAGAGAAATCAATGCAGGAACGCAGAAAAATGTATGCTCTAATTATCACGAGAACTTTACGCATTTATTGAGGATAACACTATAAACAGTAGCTGCCAGTTATAATTGGCATATATTAAAGAGCAATTAAGTCTTTTATTTAAAATATATACATATATTTCTTTGTAAAAAGTAAAAAATGAACGAAAGGAATGTTGAGTTCTATTTTACATAATATGTAGTGATGACAAGCCACAATTAAATTTGTAATCTTCGTATATATTCTGTTATACTATACTTCTAAGTGAAATATATAAATCGTTAAACTTATAAATATTTTTATTCGTATCATTTATGCGCACGTTATTTTAAATGTTAAAAGCTACGTTATATAACTATGTTAAAAGCTATATATTATATTTACAAATTATATTTTCGTTATTAATACATTCACTATGTAATTTACGAATTTATAAACAAATTTTATCAAAATCAATCTACTTGTAAATCTTTTTTTTTTTTTTTAACAATAAGCGAAAATGTTCTTTCTATATCTATTAATTACATCTATTAAAGGAAATATGGTAGTGTTAAACCTATTTAAAATGTTATTCGTTTCTGGTCGTCACATAAAAAGAGACAGATGTGTGCGTGGATCTGTGGGCGGAAGGAGGGGAGCTCATATAAAGCAACTCTTCTAGGAAGAAACGCAATGCTTCAGAAGCTAATGTTACGCGAGAACGTTGTACCATCTAGTCTCTCAGTTGTCCTATTTATTTATTTGCTATAAAAATAATTCGCGTCCTGTTTTAATACATTGCTGTAAAGTCACTTGCTTAATATTATTTTAAAATGTGTGACGACGACGTAGCCGCATTGGTAATTGACAACGGATCTGGAATGTGTAAAGCCGGATTTGCCGGAGATGACGCTCCTCGAGCTGTGTTTCCTTCTATTGTTGGAAGACCCCGATATCAGGTACAAAAAATATAGATATCTGATAGATGTATTATATAAATCTGTATAATTAAACGTATTCTAATCATGAGTATTTTTAGGGAATTATGGTCGGCATGGGACAAAAGGACAGTTACGTAGGTGACGAGGCGCAGAGTAAACGGGGAGTTCTCACTGTTAAATATCCTATAGAGCATGGTGTTGTCACTAATTGGGACGACATGGAGAAGATCTGGCATCATACATTCTACAATGAATTAAGAGTCGCACCAGAGGAGCATCCCGTTTTGTTGACGGAGGCTCCCCTAAACCCCAAAGCCAACCGCGAGAAAATGACGCAGATCATGTTTGAGACCTTCAACACTCCAGCTATGTATGTTGCCATTCAAGCTGTCCTGTCTTTATATGCGTCAGGACGTACGACTGGCATAGTGCTAGACAGCGGTGATGGAGTGTCTCATACAGTACCGATTTACGAAGGTATATTCCTCTTTACTCGCTTCGATTTCTCATGGTATAGTCATTAATGCCGTGCGATTTAAAGAGAATCAATGTTAATTGTTGTGTGACGTTTAATGTTGCAATATTTTTTTTTCTTTTTCTTCACAGGATACGCTTTACCTCATGCGATTTTACGCTTGGATCTAGCCGGCCGCGACTTAACAGATTACCTGATGAAAATTTTGACCGAAAGAGGCTACACCTTTACAACTACCGCTGAACGTGAAATCGTGCGTGACATCAAGGAGAAGCTGTGTTACGTTGCCTTAGACTTTCATTGTGATATAGAGACTGCAAACGACCTAGAAAAGAGCTACGAATTACCGGATGGCCAGGTAATGCGTTATTTGATTTGTTTTATGAATGCAACGTTCTCATGTAATTAACACAAACGAAAATTTTTCAATAATGACTAGATCTTTTATTAAGAAAGAAATTACGATTTAAAAAATCTAACATCTTTTGAGAAAGAACCAGCAATTTTTTAATTAGACTACTAACTTTATTATAAAGCTAATTTTAATTTACGATGACTTAAAAGTGACGTCTGAATTATAGATACAAAGAAATACAAATAGTTATAGTATGAATGTAATGAACACTACAATAATGGAAGTGTACGCTCATTAGCATTAATCGCGCGCATTTGCGTCGAGTGAGTGTTAACTCGTCATGGGTTGGCTAGCCGCGCGGTCAGTGGACGAAGAAATAACGGATAACGGTTTGATTCCAGGTCATAACAATCGGTAGCGAGCGCTTCCGTTGCCCGGAAGCAATGTTTCGGCCAAGTATCCTGGGTATGGAATCTTGCGGCATACACGAGACGACGTATAATTCGATCATGAAATGCGACGTCGACATCCGTAAGGATTTGTACGCCAATTTGGTGCTTTCAGGCGGCACTACCATGTATCCGGGCATCGCCGATCGGATGCAGATAGAGATAGCGAAGCTCGCGCCACCAACCATGAAGATCAAAGTAATTGCGCCGCCTGAAAGGAAATACTCTGTATGGATCGGCGGCTCGATCCTCGCTAGTCTCAGTACGTTTCAGCAGATGTGGATTTCTAGGCAGGAGTACGACGAGCTAGGACCGTTTATCGTGCACAGAAAGTGCTTTTGAGATGCCATCATCCGAAACGCTTTTCAACCGATCCTTAATACGCAGGATAACTGAAATGATATTTATTTTTTTTCCTCTGAATAATTTATTATTTCCTAAATAATTTTCTTTTTACATATTATCTCACTCTTCACTCTTCTTGAAAAATAATTTTTATTTATCGATTATCTCTTGATAAAGATATCTATAGCATAAACTCACAGTAAGTGAAGTCTACATCTCATCATCGTCGATTCTCGTTTCATTGCATCCGCACGCGCAAGCTTTAAAGATGAATTAAAATCTGAATTAGGGAATTTGTGTACATCAAACAGCCATTAATTCAATGTCCTTTTTTATTTCTAAAATGTACTCGATGTTATATTACATAATAGGACGTTTAAGGCGAATGTGACATTGGAGAACCTAGTTCTCCCTACGTCCTTCTTAGAAACTTTCATACAACTTTTGACACACAGTACATCTGCCGACGTAACAAAATTCTCTCTGTTGACGCATATACATTAAAAAATAATAATTTATATATTCTTTTTCTCATAAAGCGTATATATTTATGTGTCGTATATATTTATAGATGTATGTACTAAGAACTCAATTAATAATTCCACAGCTAAAAAAGTTGTCATTTACAAGATATTGATAATTACATTCGTAGTATCGTAGCATCTATCAAATGCTGTTTTGTTCATGAAATTCTATTAGTTTTCATGGACGGTTAATATATTATTTTACAGAATAGGGTGTCTCATTTGAAAGGATCCACTCAAATATCTCAGAAACACTGCGTTTTTTACTTCAAGAGAGACATAAGGACTTTGCTCTGACCTCGACAACGCCACCCAAATTAACATTATGTTCCTTTCGAAGTAAAAACATTTTTCGATTTCTGAATATTTGAGTAGATTCTTTCAAATGGGACACCCTACATATACATCTTAAAAATAGAACGTAAAAAACCTATCTCTAAGGAAAAATATATACAATTTTCATTTTTATTCATCCAAGACAAATTATTATGGATCAGACACGATATTTAAAAAATTATCTGATATTCGGCAGATTGAATATGCGAAAATAATGTGTTGGCATTTGCTCAAATTATTATTTACGTCGATCCGTTACATTCGTAAGACTACAGTTTTTTCACAAATAAAATTGAAATTATCAGAAATTATCTCTGATTGAATGTGATATACATATATGTACTTATACAGGGTTCTGTAAAGACCGAAACCAACATATTGAGACTATAATAGTTTTTGAACTATAAGCATTTAAAGTCAACGAATTATACCGCTTAAAATTTGCGCGTTCGAATAACGACGCAAAAACTAAAACTGAAAGCAAATGATTGCCTCTTATAAGTATATCAAATTATTGATATTTATTATGTTAAAAAAAATTTTTTCCCCTCGACATTTTGATATTAGAATTTTCGTCTTAAAATGACCTTAGAAATCTCCCTTTAAGCGTTGTTCCGATCTTTACGGAATACCCTGTATATACATGCATTACGACAGAACCGTAAAATAATTATGTCAACAAATATATCAGTATTTGAAGATACCACGAATGAAAAATTTACATACAATTTTATTTATTAAATATATAATACGCACCATGTCAGTATAGTTAAATTTAATCGAACTAATTGTACTAAAATCGTGTTACTCAAAGAAACTTGTATCTCAGATCAGTAAAATTGGACTGTTACTCGCGATATTAATGATTTTACAATCGTTTACGATGTCTAAAGTTCTTCTCCGCCTATTTCTCGGATTTTAACATTCAGCGTTCAACATGCTTGGGAGCAAAAATAGCAGATAGATGATATAACAATGTCGCTTTATATTAATCTTATTAATAATTCAATAGGTGTACAGCATACAGATTGTATCAAAAGACGATCCAGTTTCTTTTAGTTACAAATTTTCTTGACGTTAATGTTTCTTTCATGAAAAGTCCATGAAAATTATTTCATTAGGCCATCAAATTTTCATGAAGGAAATGTTAATTTTGTCAAAAAATTTGTTTATGAGGAAGCGCGTATTTTCTGAAACATTCTATACATTTGTACTGTCAATTTTGGAAGTTAATCAAACGCAATTCGGCGGCAAAGTTTAATTTTTCAAGAATATGTATCATTATGATAAATTATTAAGAAACGCAGAATTTATAAAATATCAAAAGGAGCTACACAAAATTAAAAAATTCATTGTATTTTCTTCCGCTTGTGTAACATTGTCTTACAATGTATTTCTATCAGGTGTATAGTATTAACATACATGGTAGTTAATGATTTTTTAATAATTAATAACAAAGAATGTGTTTAATTACAAAAGTAATATAAAGCACTCCATATAATTGAAGTAGTAAAAAAGTTTTGCAAATATCAATATTGTCAACTCAATGAAAATGGAACAGAAATCTAGTCTGGAGTTGAAAAATGTTCGATATGTCGGATGGATACTTTGTTATAGTATGTGATATCTATTCATAGTTATATAAATAAAATGACCAACACCGAGTACAAAATATAGAATAGATGTATCAAACAAGTATTGACGACGAATTTACTTAAATAAAAAAATGTAGAAAAAATAGATAAACTATATTATATCGCATGTGTTTAAAAAGTCAATAAAAATATCTTTGGTGCCCCTATTTTGCAACGAAAAACGCTGTTTCAATTATGGCGTGAGAGGGAGCAGTAGTATTTTCAAGAGTTTAAAACTGACGATACTGATAAAATCAGTTCTATCCAATTTTATAAAAATTTATATCTCTTAAACTTTTCTTCTACCTGTAGATTTTCTTCTACTTGTTGAACGTTTAGGACGTCGACACTTTATTCGCGTAATATTCGACCAAGGTAAAGAGAATTCGCTGAAAGATAAAGATTATGCTAATAAGTACTTGATATAATACTATGTAAAATATGTATTTAAAAAAAGATTTTTTTTTACCATGGAGTAAAACTAGGAATAGGTGCGCCAAATGCAGTTACTGGCAAATGAAGATCTACTTGGATACTTTGAATTTGTTCTATATCAGGCCACAAGGAAGTTACGATTTCCTCGTCCATGGACGATGGACAAGGACCAGTATGATTTGTATTATAACACGTAGCTTGATGATTTTGACGTTCTTGTCGTTGCTTCAACTTTTCTATATGCCTTTGTTCCCTAATAATATGATAGAATATGTTAGTCAGATTATATTTTAAGTTTTTAAAGAGAAGATTGTGTGAGCAAATTTTACAAACCTTATCCTTTGTACATCCCATCGCTTTCGCCTCCTTTCATCGTTCTCTAATTTCAAATGTCTCTTATTAAAAATTTCATCGTCCAAATTCTCGGTTCCCTCCATTGTATAACAACTCGTATATACCTTTACTCTCCAATTTGGAACTTCTAACGAATTACTTGTTTCTACTGGGCTAAACTGTTTCATATTTAATGTATAAGTTGGATCTCCTACAGCTGTGTAATAATGTTCCTCTGTCGTGAGAAAGGATTCTTTTTTCACAAGAGATTTCGACTTCCTGTCGCTCTTTCTACTGGTTTCGTGCAATGTCTGACTCAATATCTTATCTTGCACTCCGTCGTTACTAACAGTGGACGAACAAGAGAGACCCCTTTTCTTTTTACTACCTGTAGATAAGGGAGTTGGATCAGATCGTCTCTTCTTTTTCTCTTCCCATTCAAACCTCGCCTCGTTATTAGGCTCTTGTTTGACTTCCAATTTAATTTGATTATCGTGTGGTTCTTGTTTAACAGTGGTGATACCGCCACTAGTGTTTAGACGTATCTTGAAGCTCTCGTGCAAGATGTTGCTACTGTTGGTACTCTCGCACTGAACATTTCTATGCAGTTCGCTGGTCGAAGGTACATTCACTGAATTGACACTGGTAGGCGAGCAGGCGCCTAAATGTTCAGAACCGGTAGAATTCTCGCTACATTCAGATCTCAGTTTCTGAAGGTTTACACGCCTTTCCATACGCTCCAAACGTAACTTCAGCTGCAACAGACAAGTCAAAACATCATTTCATCATTGACACAATACCTAACGCGTCAATCGTTTTTCGTATACAGATATTTATTTACACTTCTCGTATGCACCCGTCTGTACATTATCTTTCTATCCTCGCAAATCATCTTAATTCACTTCGGGAATCGATCTGGATGTCGTTACCCTCGCGACTTCGCGGTAAGGGAGGTTAATTTGATAGACTAGCGCCCTGTCATTCGCGCCGTTGACGAAACGACGAAGCACGTATCGCCTACTGGACACAGCTCGAGAAATGGAATCGTTCCGCACCGATCTCACGACGAAAATTTTACTTACTTCGTGGCACCACGCGACCGCAATTACCCCTTCGATTCAACTGTCATTTTCAAATCGCGAAAAACACCGAGAACGTCGTCACTCCCACGGAAGAAATCTCGCTCGTCTCTCACACTCGTCCTGCACTCACATTTTCACATGCATTCTCTCTCTTTCTCCCTCTACCGTTCTCGCGCGCGGTCTCAATGCGGAAGTAGCGCCACCACGTGTTGACACCGCGCAAGTTGACCTTCACGGTCAACCTGTTCCCCGCGTGGTACTACATTTAGGTTAGGCAGGCTGTGCGAGGAAGCGAGAGGGGAAAGGCGGGAATTGACACTCGCCCGCGCGGCCGCATGTGCGCCGTGCGCACTGCGATTCTGCGCGCACAGCGCGTTTTTACAAAATGGTGCCAAACTCGTCGCCGTTCCGTAGCCAGAAAAAGAGCGGGACTGGCGAACCACGGCGAAGACGCACGACGTATGTACTCAGGTTAGGGCGGTGCTCGGATCTTTTTTTTTCTTATTTCTCGACAACGACCGCGAGGAGAGCCAAGAAAGCGAGCGAAAGAGGACCAACGCTCGAAGCTGCGCGTTGACGTTTACTCAAGATTTTCTCTCTCTGGCGTAAGATTGTGAATTGTAACAAATATTCATTTCAATGCGTATCTCTATTTCGGAAGCAGCTGCGAAACGTATGTGTCGTAACGCTTCAAGAAAGG